TACGGTTCCAGGGGAATTACAGTCCGTCATGGCAGGGAGGCATGGTGACTGAAGGTGGCTGGAGCAGGAGCAGCAGGAGCTAAGCTCTTACATCATCACACAGGCACAGGAAGCAAGAGAGCAACTGGAGATCCGGCAAGGCTTAAGAACTCTCTAAGCCCACCCCCAGTGACGTGCTTCCTCCAGGATACCCACACCTTCTAAAACCTCCAAAAACAGCACCATCATCTGGGACAAAATGTCCAAATACTTAGAGTCTATGAGGAATATTTTCATTCAAACCACCACAAGGCTTAATTACACTCACAAAAAATACCAAACCAACCAAAAAAACAAAAAAGTCAATTTGAAAGGCAATGACTGGACACCTTATCTTGAATGCACAAGAAAAAAGTTTCAAATCCTTGCTTCTGAGTCATGCCAGAACAGTGCAGTATGGTCTTATGGGTCTGTGTGTTTGTCACACTGTGCAGAATCAAGTATGTAATGAACTGTTAGTGCTCAGGACAAAGGTTTTAGCCCTAAAATATTAGTGTTTTGTCTTATGAGTACGACGTTAAAGAAGAGAAATGGACACACAATCATGCTCAATTTGAATAGAAAACATAAACTTATGCTGTGTTTTCCCTTAAAATAAGGAAATGTTTCTTTGCTTTGTTCACCTATAAAGAAGCCCATTAGATCTAGGGCCACCAGAGTCACATTAGCAGCACTGCGGAGGTTCAGTCTGAAAACAACAGCTTGGGAAATTCACACGCTAGAGACACAGTTTTCTTATTTGAAAAAAAAAAAATGTTAGCTACATGGGGTCAGATGGGCCTTTAATCCCAGCACTAGATAGGCAGGGGCAGGCAGATGTCTGTGCATACAAATCCAACCTGGTCTACACAGTGAATACCAGGCTGATATTTTCCTAGTCGAGATACATCCACAGGACAAGCAAGTCAGGAACACAGACAGAGGAAGAAACAGACCAAACAGACATTAGGATGGCAGAGAGATGCTTGGGCACTAAAGACCAGCAGGAAGGAAAACCCAGCAGAGGACAGATAGGCTGCCTCAGGTGCTGTGGGGAGGTGAGAGATCCACTATGTTGGATTTAGAAGGACAGAAAAAAAAAAAGTTTAGGTAAAAGACCAGAGCTGGACCTTGCAGCATACTGAACAGGGTTTATTCAGTTCAGTGAAGTTGACAACAGCTTCTCCTTGGAAAACCAAGCTGTGTGTCAGTGGGAGGGCTGGAGGTGAGTTTCATACTATTGGAAACAAAGAGGACACACAGAGCTGTGAAGTCTAAGTTAAGGTGTCCTTGGGCCCTTTTTCTGGAGTTGCTTGTTTGAACAGAACAAAGTTGTTTTCAACTCAGATGGCACATTAGTTACTTTTCCTGCTGTTGTGATAGAAACGCCATGACCAAGGGAAAGTATAAAAGGAAGATTTTATTTTGCTTATGGTCCCAAAGGGGCAAGAGTCCATCATTGTGGGGAGGCTTGGCGGCAGAGGTGGCTGGAGGAGGAGCAGAAGCTACGCTCTCACATCTTCAAGCAGGCACAGGAAGCAGAGCGGGACTGGAAATCTGGCAAGGCTTAAGAACTCTCTAAGCCTGCCCCTGGTGACGTGCTTCCTCCATCAAGGCCACACCTTCTAAGACCTCCCAAAACAGCACCACCAACTGGGGAGAAATGTCCAAATACTTGGAGCCTATGGGAACATTCTCATTCAAACCACCACAGATGGCTAGCTAATAACTGGGGCTCAAAAACACAGAGAGACATTCTGGTGAGAGGAGTGGCTTGTCTGGCTTTCTGCAACCATGGCAGTCTATCAGGCCTGAGAGAGGGATGTGGCTATTAACAGTGGGGCTAGGGCCAGACATTTGTCTCAGGGAATTTCTGGCTTCTATCACACTGGAGCCAAGAGCCTCCCTGGAGCTCCGGCCAGTGCCCCACCCTCCCTGCAGCTGAAGAAAAGTCCTCAGAGAGTGAACGTTGATCTCCTAGGCCTTCGGTCTCTCAACAACCTTGTAAAGATATGATTAATGAGTTCAAGGTTCAGGATTATTTCCTCTGTTTTATAAGCCCTTTACTCTCAGGGTATCTGCTTGGGAGAGGTGCTGGGGTAGGCTTAGTCCTCTGTCTTCCTCTTTACAATAATCACTACAATTAAGTATTTACTCTTTTCTTTCATTCATTTCCTTTCCATCCCCTCATCATTTCCTTTCCTAGCCCTCTAACTGAAAGAATCTCCCCTTCCTGTTTCCCTCTCTCTCAGCACCACTGCCCCCACCCCCCCGCTGACTTCTGGGCATCCACCTCTCAAGGCAGCTCTACTGTTCCACCATGGCCAGCAAGATGCAGGAGGAGGTGACCTGCCCCATCTGCATGGACATCCTGAAGGAGCCTGTCACCATCGACTGTGGACACAATTTCTGCCTGGGATGCATCAGTCAGGTGGGGGAAGCTGCCGACAGCCTCCTGTGTCCTCTCTGCAATGCTTCCGTGAGCAGGAGCACATTCAGACCTAACAAGATGTTGGCAAATCTGGCCGAGAAAATCCAGGCTATGGATCCTTCTGACTTCCAAGGAGGTGATGAGCTGGGATGTAAAAAACACAAGGAAAAGTTCCATTACTTCTGTGAGGAGGACGGGGAGTTTCTCTGTTCTGTGTGTCGTGATACCAAGGACCACAAATCCCACCATGTCAGCCTGATAGAAGAGGCTGCCCAGAACTACCAGGTAGGCCCTGGACCCTCCTCTGCCCTCCCCAACAGAGGAGAGCTCCCTGGAGACATGGGTCCTGCTGCTGCTCCACTGGGTTGGCACCCATGCCCCACTTCCTGCTCCTCAGTGGGCAGTTTGTACCCAGGCCCGGGGGCTCCAGCAGCTGAGCTCTGGGAAATGCCAGTCACTGCATCTTAATGAGGACGAACAGCAGAGCCTGGGACATCTAGGCAACCAGTGCTGGGCCACTGAGCTGCAGTCCCAGGCTGACCTCACCTTGCCTATCCCTGGGACAGAAAAAAACTGTCCCTTAAAGATTTTGGTTGGACAGATGAGGGCAAGTGTGTACTTAACACCAAAGCACCACCCTGATGGCCACAGATGTCATAACAACCTTTTTTCTCTCTCCTCACTAAACTTCCGGGTTTCTTCCTTCCCATCACCTCTGGTCCCCAATTGGGAATGAAAGAGGGCCTATTAATAAGGTGCCAGCATCCCAGGTGAGTGTCCCTGCCTACCCTGAGAGAAGGAGCTTGCACTATGCTCTGTCTCCCCACAGGGGACGATTCAGTCTCAGGTGGACATCTTGGGGCAGAAAGAGAAGGAAATACTAGGAGAGACAGCTCGGGGAGAAAGCATGATCCGGGTCTTCAGGGTAAGAATCACTCCATGTCCTGCCCCTGAAGCAAAGTCACCTCTGTTTAAGCTCCCAGAGTTCCCTGTTACACTGAGCCAGGACCAAGTCCTGCTGACACAGGGGATGCAGGATGGACAGAGGAGCAGCATGCTGGGTATGTCCTGTGCTCCTGGGACGCACTGACTTGCCTGTGGGTGAGCAGCAGAGTGGGGTGCAGTTCTGCCCCTCCCACAGCACAGGCGGTGTAAGGAAAACACATTGGTTTAGAATCTGAAATAGTGATCTCACATACACAGATATATAGCTTGTACAACTGTATACATATAGATATATATGTATATATATATCCATATATACACATACACACATACAAACACATACCACCTACACACGTTCATGCAAACCTACAAACCTAGATATAACTACATGCTCACATACACAGATATGTGCATAAACATACACATACATGCACACCTGCATACACAATTCAAACTAATACACACTAATATGCATGCCTACACACCTAAAAATACATACACATATATACAAACACACACATACACCCACACATATACATACATGTACACACACACATGGGTCCTTGAGGGCAATGATACACCATCCATCCTGCACCTGAGAGCACAGGAAGTCTCTGAAGGAGGCTGTCCTCCTCTGCTCCCCCAGCCCACTGCCTGCACTGCTGCTCAGGACAAGCTCTGAGAACACTTGAGAAGGGAATGTTCTGGAAGGTCTTGGAGGTCTGGGTTTCATCTCTGGGTCTCTCTCCTTGTCCCCAGACCCGGATGCATCTGGAGAGACTAAAGATCCTGGATGAATTCAATAGTCTGAGGCAGAGCCTGGAGGAGGAGGAGAGCTTCCTCTTGGCCAGGCTGGGCTGGCTGGAGCAGGAGGGAGCCAAGCAGATGAAAAGGTTTGTCACTGATGCGCAGAAGCAGCTGAGCTTCCTCAGGAACCTCACTGAGTCCCTGGAGGCCAAGAAGCAAATGGCGCCCAAACAGGTGCTGCAGGTGAGTCCCTTGGGCACAGAAGTGCAGATGGGTACCATCCGCCCCAATGTTAGGACAGAGTGTGGGCGATCTGCCAGAAGGCTGAGATTGGTTGCCTGGATTTGACCTCTAGCCCAAGGCTGTCCACCTAAAAGCTCTCATGGAGGTGTGCACTTGTAATCCCAGGACACTGAGGCAGGAGGATTGTTCCTAGTTAGAGGCCATCCTGTGCTAAGGCTGGAGACCCTGTCTCAAACAAAGCTGGGCATGGTGGCTCATAGCTATGAGTCTAGTACTCTGGAACTCAGGAAGTAGGAGGATTGCCTGTGGTCAGCTGGAGATCAAGGCCAGCCTAGGCTACACAGGGAGATTCTTGTCTCAAAAACCCTAAATAAGTAAAAATAAGAGTCCCATATACATACACAATTTAGAATTTGTTTTGTTTTGTTCTTTGAGACAGGATCTCCTGTAGGCCAGGCTGGCCTGGATCTTGTTATATAGTCAAGGATAACCTTCAACTTCTCTTTGTTTTTAAAACTGGTTTTCTAATTCCTGTGTGCGAGTGTGGGTATGTGTGAGTGTATTCTATGTGTATGTGTGTATAATATATGTGTGCTATAGCTTTGCATTATATGTATGTGTACGTTATACATTTGTGTGTTATATGTGTGTGGTGTGTGTGCATGTGTGTGTTGTACATTTGTGTGTATTTTATGTGTGTGTCCCCTCTCTCACTTTCTGTCTTATTCTTTGAGGCAGGGTCCCTTCCTGAACCTGGACCTTGGTTTTGAAGGCCATGCTGGCAGCCAGCAAGCCCCAGCCATCCTGCTGTCCCCACACCCCACAGTGCTGGGGTTTCAGGCATAATTAAGACCACACCCAGCTTGTTACACAAATTGCTGATACACATATTCTGATCTCCATAGTTGAACACACAGTGCTCTTAGTCACCAAGACATCTGTGATTAAGCCCCAACCCTGACTTTTGATCCTTGACCTCAAACTTGCTGTGTAAACCAGGCTGGCCTGAACTCACAGAGATCTACCTGTTCTGCCTCCAGAGTGTTGGGATTAGAGATGGGTACCACTGTGCTGGATTGTTTCTTTCAACCAGACCACTGCGTCCTCTTGTCACACTGCCACATTTGAAGTGTTTGCTCCTGCATGGGGCTGTCCAGTTTCCCCTGGATTGAACAGCGCAGGTGCAGCTGACACAGCCTGGCTCAGGTCCTCCCTCCTGCACGCCATCTAGTCTCCTGGGTTTCTTTGTTTTCTGTTTTGTTTGTTTTTGTTTTTGAGACAGGGTTTCATGTAGCCAAGGCTGGCCTCAAATCTTCATTGTATTGAAGACCGGCCTGGAGCTCCTGAAGCTTCTGCCTCCACGCCCCACGTGCTGGGATTACAACTTTCTTACTTTTACACTTTTAAGTTTTTTGATTTATTTTTGTTTCTTATATGTATATGTTTTGCCTGCATGTAAGTGCACCCGTGTGTGCCATACCACTGGTATTGAGTTCCTGGAACTAGATTGGCTGTTAGCCATCATGGAGGTGCTGGGAACTGAACCCAGGTCCTCTGGAAGAGCAGCCAGTGCTCTTAACCACTAAGTAATCTCTTCAGCACATTTCTTTCACACTTTTCTTTATTTTGTGTTCATGCATAGGTGTGAGTGTGTGAGTGTGTGTGTGGTGTGTGTGTGTGTGAGAGTGTGTGTGTGTGAGTGTGTGTGTGAGTGTGTGTGTGAGTGTGTGTGTGTGTGTGTGCGTGTGTGTGCACCGGCCATGGTTCTCCTAGAGAACTCAGAGGACAGCTTGAAGGAGTCTCTTTATTCCTTCTACCATGTGGGGCCCAGGGATCAAACTCAGGTTCTCGGACTGGGTGGCAGGTGCCTTTACCCACTGAGCCACCTTGCCAGGCCTTGTTTCTTACTTTAAAGAAGCACCATGCAAACCACCCTGCCCTGTCCTGACCTGCCAGCAGAGCTCCCTGGTTCTGTCTCAGAAGGCAAAGCTCGTCTTCAGAACGGCCCTCTGCTCTCCTTACCCAGTTCCCCTAGAAGTCTAACCTCTCTTTTTTACTGCCAAATCAGGTGCTTTTGGAATAGTTTTCCAGGTGGGAAATGAGAGAGAGAGAGAGAGAGAGAGAGAGAGAGAGACTGTTCTCCCCTAAAGCAGGGTCTTAAACTCTTCTCGGTGCCTGTGACTCAGGCAGCTCTGAGGCTGTGCTCTCTTTCTCTTGCAGGACATCAAAGTCATCTTGAACAGGTATGATGGGCGTCCCAGGGCATCATGCTTTCTCCTTCACTCATGCCCACGTTCAGCACGCGTGCAAACACTCCATCCTCCCTGCACTCCACCTACACTCTAACTTTGCTGTGAATGCTTTAGGATGCTGGTGGGGACAGTAACAAGAGGGCAGGTGGATGTGGAGACAAGCTCTGTAGTGCACATCCCCAGCTCCAGCACAGTCTCCTCCCTGCATGCCCCTCTAGAACCACCTGTTTCCTAATCCATCTCCCCGGCCCCTCCCCCTTCCCTCCTCTGCCTTCATCTCCCACCTTCATCTCCATCTCTCCTCCTAGTCTCCTCACTCACCCACATCCCTAGTCCTGGTCTCATGACACCCAGCTCACTAGACTGGACCCTTCTCTCTGTCTCCATCCCATGCACCCCCGTCATAGTCCCTCCCTCCCTGTCCTCCATCTCCTGAACTCCCCACCCAGCTCACCATGTCTTCACAGGAGTGAGAGATTTCAGTTCATCAACTCAACCCCAGCCCCTGGGGACCTGGCAAAAAGCATAAGTGAAACAAAATCAAGACATGTGTCCATCATAGAAAGCCTGAAGGAGTTCAAAGGTAAGGAAGGACCGTCAACTCCCTGGGAATTGTCTCCATCACTTAAAAGTACTGTCCAAAGGACAGGGTCTCAATGGTGACCCCTGAACCCCTCTAATGCCAGGCTGTCCATTGAGCACCTCAAATCTTTGTCATCCAGGCGTCTCTCAGTCTAACTGTAACAGAGAATTTACAGGTTTTATCTGGTACTGAGATTGGAACCCAGGCCCTTGTGCATGTAAGACAAGCACCTACCAACTGAGCCACATCCCAGCCCCAGAGAGCACCTTATATATAAACATTTTTGTCTTTATTTGTCAGGTTGTGAGTGAGGGGCTGCATGCTTGGTGCCACTTTGGTAGCCGCCAGCCACACCATCCAGTGGGCACCAGAGTGTAGCATTCACAGATGCTGTAGGTGAGGCATATAGAGTGACTTTGCAAGATTCAGAGTGAAAATAGAACATAAAATACAACAATAAAACCAAACAGACAGGGGCTGGAGAGGTAACTCAGCCATTAATAGTGGGTATTGCTACTGCAGAGGACCAGATTTCAGTTCCCAGCACCCATGGAGGGCAACTCACATAGCCACACACTGACACACATACAGACACACATAATTGAAAATAATAAATAACAGTAAAGCTGTGAACACAAAAAAATGAGAACATATCCGTAATTAATTTTGAGACAATAAGTCTGTGTTACCCAGTGTCATTGCTTAGAGGTGAGTTCAAACGATCTTCGAACATCATCCTGCAAAGTGACCTTGGACAGCGGACATCCAGCACTGCACTATGCCCAGGTTCCACTAATTTTTCATTTTATATGTTGAAAGTGTAGTAGTTTGAAAATACTAAGCTACAATAATATAGTCAATAAAATTAACTTTATTTTTTAAAAAATTTAAACAGCCTGGGTATGTGTAGCCCAGGCTGTCCTTGAACTCACTATGTAGTATTATCTGGGCTAAAGCTTGTCATCATCCTTCCCCTCAGCTTCCTGAGTGCCACCGTGCCCTGCTGGTCTTTTACTCTTGTAAAATGACCACTGAAAATTTAATAGACGATCACGTCTGTGGCCCCCACTGCATTTCTGGGTGGAGCTGCACCGGAGAGCCACTGAGGGCAGCCCAGGGCAGCTCTGCATATTTGGACACTGAGGATATGAGAGAAATTCCAGCCCCTACCTCCCCAGACTCTGAAATCAGTACCTCACTGTGTGGTGCTGGCTCTTGGTTATCCTTGGTTAATCTCTGAGCACTCCGCATTTCCTTCCCTCGCTCCCATAGACAGGCTTCAGGCTGATGGGAAGGAAGATCAATGCAGATTCCTGGACAGCTTGAAGGAAGAGGACAAGGAGAGCTGTGAGTCCCTGTCTGCTTCCTGCTGTTTGGGGGCAGTGAGATGCACAGAGGGAGATTGTGTCCCTACGGGGAGGGGAGGCCCAGTGGGTGAGGAATGGGCTATTTGGTGAGGTTTTATTATTTCCTAAAGATTATTTTATTTTCATTTCATTTTTTGCTAAGTTTTATACATATTTTATGTATATGACTGTGTTACCTACATGTATGTAAGTTCACCTGTATTGTACAATGCCCACAGAAGTCAGAAGACAGCACCAGATCCCCTGGAACTAGAGTTACAGGTGGTTGTTAGCCACCATGTGGGTGCTGGGAACTGAACCTGGGTCCTCACAAGAACAGCAAGTGCTCTTAACCACTGAGTCATCTCTCCAGGCCCCTTAGTTAGTTTTGGAAGATAGGGTATTACTATATAACCCTGATTGGCCTGGAAATTACTGTGGGCCTCAGACTCACAGACATCTGCCTACTTCTGCCTCCAAGGCCTGGAATTAAAGGAGTGAGCCAGCACAAAGGGAGATTACTCAAACATTAAAAAAAATTATTTTATTTTATTTTTTTTTTTTAAATTTTTTTCTTTTTCTCATTGCAGCTGGTTTGTTTGTTAGTTTGTTTGTTTGAAGCAGGGTCTCCCTGTAACCCCAGCTGTCCTGGAACTCACTATGTAGACCAGGCTGGCCTTGAACTCACAGAGATCCGCCTGCCTCTGCCTCCCAAGTGCTGGGACTACAGGCATGCGCCACCACGCCCGGCAAAATTTATTTTTTTTTTAGTTTTTATGAATTGACTCATTTAAAAATATTTTATTATTTTTATTTTTATGTGTATGCATATATTGCCTGCATGTAGGTAAGTGCATCTGTGTCGTGCAATGCCCAAGGAGGACAGAAGAGGCCATTGGATCCCCTGGAACTGGAGTTACGGACAGTTCTTAGCCATGTGGGTGCTGGGATTTGAACCTGGTTCTTCTGCAAGAACGAGTGTTCTTAACCACTGAGCTATCTTGCCAGACCCAATTTATTTATTTATTTTGATTTTATGTGTATGGGTGTTTTATCTGCATATATGTAAGTGTACCCTGTACATGCAGTGCCTTCAGAGGCCAGAAGAGGGCATCAGATCCTGTAGAACTAGAATTATAGACAGTTGTTAGCTTCCCTGAGGTTGCTGAGATCTGAACCCCAGTCCTGGGCATGAGCAGCCAGTGGGCTTAACTGTTGAGCCATCTCTCCAATCCCAGATTATTTTAAATTATGTGTATGTGTGTTTCTGAGGGTGTCTGTGCAGGTGCATACAGTGCCCTCGGAGACCAGAACAGGGCAGCACAGTCTCCTGGAGCTGGAGTTACAGGCAGCTGTGAGTCCCCTGATGTGGGTGCTGGCAACGAAACCTTCCAGGAGCAGTATGCACCCTCAACTCCTGAGTCTTCTCTCCAGTTCAGATTTATTGCTTTAGACTCATGTATTTCACAAATGGTGGCAACCCTCCAATCAGAAAATGTTCCAAATAAATACAAATTGACTAATTCACTTCATTTCACAAGGCCCAGGTGGAGGCAGCTCGGTCTAGTCTAAGCAGACTTACTGGGCCTGGCTAGCTCAGCATAGCTGAGGACTGGAGATGCCTGTCATAACAGCTGTGATGATGTCATCAGAGATGATTCTGTATCCAGAGTCCTTAGGGTAAAACCTGGGCTCTGGTAGCCCCACCAAGCCAGGCTGAGCTGCCCATCCACAGTACACCAATTAGAGAGAGGTAATAGTGAAAGGTATTGAATGGAGATTTTTTCAATGTGGCCACATTGGGAAGAGGAAGAAATAAGGAGCCCTGTGACCCCCTAGTCCCTGTTTTGAAGTCTGACGTAAGGTTCAGTTTTAAATAAAGGGCAAGTGGTTTTCATAACTAAGCCCAGCTGACCCATCACTGTCTCAGCACTCTGTCCTCCACTGCTCTGATAACCTGTTAGAACCTGTGAGATCTCTCCCAGAGAGGCAAGTTCTTCGTCTGGCTGCACCAGGGTCCAGCCTCTCCCCTCCCTCAGTATGGGGTTCCTGGGGATTGTCATTCTTTGAGGCCCATTGTTTCAACAGTGTGATGTCATAGGGAGGGACACAGTGTCAGTCTTTAGAATGCCTCCTCTCCTGCCAGGGCAGCTGTGGTGCTGCCCTCTGGTGGTCGCATGAGAAATGCCATTGGCTAAGGGTCTCCAATGTGCTGAGCACCCATATCTAGTATTAGAACCCCATAACTGTCATCAGTTTAAAGTGAGGCCCCTGAACTCCAGTGGAAAAGGGTCCCTCCCAGTCTGTGGGAACCATAGAGAGATTCTGCACTAGTTTATCCTCCCAGGCCTGGTGCTCCTGCCTACTCAGGAGGCAGAGGGCAGAGGCAAGAGATGTGCTATTCGTTTGAAGCCAACCTGGTCCCCTCAGCAGGTTCTAGGCAATCTAAGGTTACAAAGTGAGACCCTGGGTCAAAAAACAATCATGTAACAAACACATCTGAACACAAGGAAATTTATCCCCTAGCAGGAAACTGCACACTGCACTACGCAAGCGTGGACAGGTCCAGGGATTCCTCCATTAGCATCATTCCTGTGCAGGAGGAGCTCCTGGAGGTTGAGAGGAGGGTTTATGAGTTCCCAAACTCACACCTGGTAGCAGGTTTAACTTCCCAAGACCCAGCACAGTGGGCCAGCAGGGACCACCTCCATCTGTCACACAGAAAACTCAAAAGCTTCCTGTACTTCCCCAGGGGTGGTGGGTGGTCCCCACATGGAGTCACTGGCTGATGTTACTGATGGTGGCCAGGCGTTTGCTTTGAATTTACAGGTTCTGGTTATCGAGGCCCAACTATGTTTTCTTTCTCCAACTCCTAGGGTCCCTGTTTGAGAAAAATAAAGCTGAGTCACCCACCTCAGCTAGGAGTCCTGCTCCGCACACTGGTCTTCCTGGAAAGATGAAAAGGAACCTGGGGTCTGCAGGTAACCATGCTCTGTCCATCCCCAGCACTGACAGGGCAAGGGATGGTCAGACCAGACCTCAGGAAGAGCTCCCTAACATGCAGGACCCCCTCCTGACCACAACAGAGAAAGGTTACTGTCAGTTCCCACCTGAGATGGCTGGGGACAAGGTCAGAGCAGAGAGAGGAGTCAGAGATCAAGGTCCAGAGGAACTGGGAGGAGGGGCTGTGAACTTTTCCAGACTTTGGGTGCCAGAGATGCTAGACATGGGCAGAGACAGGCATCTTATCCACCTTCTCTGCTTCCCAAAGTACTTCTCCCCCAGGAAGTGTCAAGCCCCCACAGTAGGTGTTTAGCTTGCAGTACACCCCATATCTGTCCCCTCTGCCCCTCCAGCTCAGCAGGCCAGGGCTGCTTTGGGGATTCCTGCTGACTGGTCCTTCTGAACACTGGCCTCTCTTTTCCTTTTCTCTCCAATGGTGATGGACCAACAAACAAAAATAATGCCTGTTACACACTCCCTTCCACCCCCACTTTGGGACCTCTTTGTGGAGACAGCAGCCCCTCCAGCATCCCTCCTGCAGGAAAGCAAAGTGTCTTTTGGGAAAGTTCTTGGAGATGAAGACCACCATGATCCTGCAGGGTGTCCTGATGACATAAGGGTGACATTGGGTGAGTAGGTTTGTGATTGGCAGGAGTTGGGAACAGCCCCAGGATGCTGACCAGGGAGATGAGGAATGTATTTGTTTATTTACCTATTTGTAGTATTTTATTTTTTAAAAATTTATTACAGTTATGTACTAAGTCAGAGGACAATTTGCAGAGTCCTTTCTGTCCTTCCACAGGATGTGGGTCCCAGGATCTAATTCAGGCTCTCAGACTTGGCAGCAAGAACCTTTACCTGCTGAGTCATCTCAACATTGCCTCTATTTTCTGCTTTTAAAATATTTTTATTATTTTTATTTTATGTATGTGAGTGTTCTGCATGTATGTATGTAAGTGCACCCTTGTGATGCAATGTCTGAGGAGGCCAGAAGAAGTTATCAGATCCCCTGAACCTGTGGAGTTATGGACAGTTGTTAGCTGCCATGTTGGGTGCTGAGACCAAACCCGGGTCGTTGGCAAGAGCAGCCATTGCTCTTAACCGCTGAGAATCTTTCCAGTCCCTATTTTGGTGTTTGGAGACAGGGTCTCAGATAGGCCAGGCTGGCCTTGAACATGGTAATGGTCCTATTTCATCCTCCTCCCTGATGGAACCGCAGGAATCACCACCATGCCTGGTGCAGGTTGTTGCTCCCATTCAGTGCCAGGGGCTTCTTCTTATTGCTTGGGCCCTGGTGTCTGCCCACACCCCCAGGTGGAATAAGGCGGTCCCTAACTGTCTCCCTGGAGGTTTCCACACTGACCCCCCTCCCTCCCTTTGAAACAACTATTTTCAGAGCCAAAATTCATCCAGGCCTGAAGCCAGAAATAAGACTTGTGGATTAAGCCCCTCTCCAACCCCCATGGACCCGAGCACTCACCCTTCCCCCAGTCCTTCCGCAGTCTCTCCAAACCCCTCACGCAGCAAGGGAGCATTAGAACTGCAGCCAAGATGGAAATGAGACACAGTGAGGAGACAGAATGAGCCCATCCTAGACTTCAGCAGAGGCGGGGGCAGCTCTGCTCAAGCCTCTGAGGGGGACTGAGGGGGATTCTGGTAACCTGGATAAACTGTCACTCAAACCCACTGGGGGCGGGGCTGCAGGTTCTGAATATTCCTCTCTGTATCTTCCACGCCTCCCCGTCATTCTTGACCTCTCTTAGTAGCCCCAACCCTTGTTTATGAGATGAGAACAGGGATGGGGCAATGGCTGAGGACGACATCGCCCATCACCGCCGCACCACCACCAGGGGCGCTCTCGGCTGCACCCACAGAAGTGGTGCTCAGGGTGAAATTGGGGATCAATTTTAAAGGGAAAGGGGAGTGTGCCAGCGCACACCTGTAATCCCAGCACTTGGGAGGTGCAGGCAGGAGGACATAATTCACGCTGTCTTTGGCTAAATAGCAAACTCAAGGACAGCGTGGCCTAATGAAGACCTGGTCTCAGAAAACCAAACTTTAAGCCTGGGATAAGGGACAGGAATTTGCTGGGAACTTGGGCTGTGACTTGGAAGAGAAAGTCTCCTTCCAGTTGCATTCAGAAAACTCAAAAGCAGGGGAGAACTCGACTGAGGCCGACCCTGTCCATCTTCTTTATCTTTGCACAGCCCCTGTGACCCTGGATGCGTCCTCAGCCCATGAAGATCTCACTCTTTCTCAGGATTTGAAGACAGTGAGGCTGGATGATAGGACAGTGCATAAGAAAGATTCAAATAAGAACGTGGACCCACAGCGCTTCTACCCTTCCTTCTCAGTACTGGGCTCCCCTGGCATCTCCTCGGGCTGCAGGATCTGGGAAGTTGAACTCCAATGGGATTGGTTACTGTTGAAATTCCCAAGTTGCTGTGTGGTGGGCGTGGCTTCGGAGCTGGTGCCCAGACAAGGCCATGTGACGGTGAAGCCTCTGAATGGATTCTGGGCTCTCCAGGTCTATCCCTCCAGATGCTGGCCTCTCACAGACAGCAGAACTCAGGAGAATGTACACGTGTGTCTGAACAAAGTGGGCATCTTTGTGAATTATGACTGCGGGGAGGTCGTCTTCTATGACGCCACCACAAATGATCACATCTACACCTTCCATGCCTCTTTTACCGGGAAGGTCTTCCCCTTTTTCCAGCTCTTAGACACCTTCAGTCAGATCACCCTGATCCCCTAGGGCTGCTCAGTTGAGGCTCCCTCCCTCCCTTCCCTGCAGATTCCTCACATTGAGATGCACTGCAGCCGGTAGGGCTGAAGCTTGGGCTGGGTTCCACCTGACACAGGCCTGAGGGTTCCTCACCCTGAGTGGAGAAGAAAGACTCCTATTGGACAAACATGAAGTCAATCACTGTGTCACTTTATAACACTACAATATTGGGAAAAGCTCAGGCCTCATCAGTCGGTGATTGGTGAAAAAGCCATGTGAGAAAGCATCAGGCTGTACCTTGTTGAGATACATGTGCAGAGGGCTTCCCAGTACCCAGAGCCCCTTCTCTTTCACCTAACTACCTGCAGTGCCTGTGGCAATGAATGTGGACTTGATGGGTCTGGCCCTCATCTTTTCCTGAGATCTGAAAACTGCCAGGCTGTGTGCATAACTGAATAATAAAAAGAGCATTCACAACATTTGTTTACCTGTATCTCCCTCCCTCAACTCATTCTCTCCCCTTGAGAAGGAAAAAGTTACATTCTTTTTAAAAATATTTTATTTATTATTTTTATTTTATGTGTATGAGTATTGCCTGCATGTGTGTGAGTGCACCCGTGTCATGCGATGGTGCCGAGGTCAGAAGAGAGCTTCAGATTCCCCTGGAACTGGAGTTAAGGACGGTTCATAGCCACCATGTGGGTTCTGGGAATTGAACCTGGGTCCTCTACAAGAGCAGTCAGTGCTCTTAACCATTGAGCCATTATTCTTATAACTAAGAGCCTCAACGGTCAACTTTGGAGACAACTGGATTCCACCAGAGGACTTCAGCCCTGCTCTGTCCACCCCCGGAAGGTGGTCAGTCTAGACACGACAGAAGCTTGAGGAACTCAACAGAGGACACTGGGGAATTATGGTGGAAACTGCCGTAGGCATGCTTCATGTAGATACAAACTGCTGTAGGCATGCTTCACGTAGATGTAAACTGCCATAGGCATGCTTCATGTAGATGACCCTGAGCTGGAACTGTTCACTGATGAGCACTAAAAGGCAAGATATGCACTGACCACCACTGATGAAGTCATTACAGTTGAAGCCTTACTACAAGGGTGGGTGGTCAGCACAGAGAGTGGGATTATGGGTACCAACCCAGGCACTAAGACAGCGAAGGGGAAATGGGCCTCAAAGTACGCTTCTGCTACCCTGCATATTTATCGAGCCACTTACAAAGAGAGAGGACTTTGAACAGCAGAAGGAAATCAAGAATTTTTCTGTAACATTTTGGAGGCCCCAGCGTTGAATTATTAAAAGCAGTATGGAAGCCCTGGAAGACAGAGTGATCTTCTGAAAAGGATATTTAAAAGGAGATGACTCCATAAGTAGGGGAAATTGTCTGGCTGATCAAGAAGCTAGAGAGGCTGCCAACCTTCCAAGTGCAGCAACGAGTCCAGAATCAGCCTCAGTGATCCTCTTAACACCACAGTTACCACCATCTCCAAAGTACACTGGGGAAGAGGGTAGATGGCCAGCAACGAAAAGGGAAATAAAAAGGCCGGAAGTCTGGTGGGAACTCCCAGATCTAGACTCTTTGCTCCTGAAAAGGTAGCAGTCCAGTTGATAAGGTAGTATCATGTGCTGACCCACTTGGGTAAGACAGCACAGGTAAATATGCTCAGCCGGTATTACTTTATACCAAGGCTCTCCACCGTATGTACCCAGATGAGCCCAAGATTGTAAGGTGTGCACAGAACCGTGCTGACCAAAAGCCAAAACCAAACTTAGGAGTGCAGACCATTGGGACAATGCCCTTCAAGGATCTGGAAATAGACTTTAGAGAAGCCAAACTGTGCTGTGGGTACACATATCTGCTTGTCTTGATCTGCACATACTCAGGATAGACTAAGGCATTCCCAACCCACACTGAGTGGGTACAAGAACTGGTGAAATCTCTCCTAAGGGAAATCATCCTGTGATATGGGCTACCATTCCCATTTGATCAGAAAGTGGACATGCTTTGTGTCTGAGATGGCTCAATCTAAGCCTTTGGAAATCAGATGAAAGTTTCATATGGCTTATAGGATACAGAGTGCAGGGAGACTTGAACACATGAACCGGACCTTTAAGACTACTTTAGCAAAACTTTGTCAGGAAACCCAGATACTCTGGATTGACTTACTACCCCTGTCACTGTGTCAAACAAGTTGAACCCCCAAACCTTCCAGCTACTCCCCTTTTGAGATCATGTACTGAAAGCCACCCCCAACAATGAAAATTTGAAAGGGGACCACTACACACAAATAGAAAAATCTAGAATTTTCTAGTCACTTCCTGGCTTTGGAAAAGACTTTATTCCATACCAACAGAAGAGCATTGGGACTCGATAATTAGGACTCTGCTCTCTGATTTTTCCTGCAGAACACTGTTTCTATGTTAAGCAGTCTGGAACAGTATAAAGGTATGATAAAAGACATCCAAAATAAGATTCAAAGAGGGAAAGAAACTCTGGCCACATCCTGGTTGTTCTGGTCTTCACTCACTCCTTGATTTGTGCCACTTATGGGTCCATTTTTGATCATTATGATGGCTTCCTATTGGACTTTGTATCCTCCAAGGACAGAGTAACTTCATCTCTTCTCCTGGATGCAGTGGAGCTACAAATGGTCCTGACGCCTGGGCCGACATCCCCTACTTCACACCACATGGATGATGAAAATCAAAATTAATCATTAAGAGTTGATGCTTTATGTAGCAGAATTTTTTAAAAAGCTCTCTAGCTAATTAACCTGGCTGACTTGTTGATTGAAAGGTGGCAGATGTCCTGACACACATCTGGAATATCTACTTTGTAGGCCATATTGGTCAAATGAACTCAGGAAGGAATTTCCTGAGATAACATGGCCCTTAATGGAAAGAAACATTGGACCCAGGTGCTGATCAAAAATGATGATGTAAAACCCTCATCTGTACTTCTGATTGGGGCCCCAGAATCTAGGGAGCCTTTGTTGCTTACTGGGGTCCTCACGCACAAGTAAGGAATAAACAAGGTTTCTGACTCTCTCCTGGGTGAATGTTTGGTCTCTGCTATGGGAGGGTGCCATCTGGGAAGTGGGTGTATAGTTGAATAAGGTGGTTTGGGATGTTCTGTGTGAAACACAAAAAAAGTCAAAAAAAAATTTAAAAATGAATTATATTTGAGGAGGAAGCATAAAAATTTACGTTAATTAGTAGACGTGATAAACATTACCATTGAAATCTATCCGATGACTTTATAGACATACACAGGTGCCAAGGATCCAAGTGCAGCCGATGATGACTAGTAATAATCAGATACAAACAGATTAGAGACGCATGTGCCAACAGCTCAGTGTTAGTAGCAAAAACAATGAGTCTTTCTGTAAGAAACAGTATATTTTAAAATGAAATGGAGATCTTTTTTAAAGGTTAAAACTCATTCAATTTTATGTCTTACAGGGCTTATACTGAGTTCAATATTGTATAACTGTATTAATTCAACTGTCAATGTAAAAATTTACAGCCATTTTTGAAAGAGATGTATTCTTGCTCTGGAGTGTGTTACTGAATATGTTAAAGTTGCAATGAAATGGTAAAGAATTTTTTTTATTAACACCTTTTATCAGCTACCCTGCTGTCCCCATACCCCACAGTTCTTGGATTTCAGGCATATTCAAGATCATACCCAGCTTATTACTTGGGTGCTGGGACCCAAACTCTGATCTCCACTGTTGAACAGACAGTGCTCTTAATCACTGAGCCCTCTGTTCAGCCCCAACCTTGACTTTAACTTGTTATGCAAACCAGGCTAGCTTGAACTCATAGAGATCTACTTGCCTCTGCCTCCAGAGTGCTGGGATTAGAGGTGTGCATCACTGTACATGTCCGATTCTGTCAACGTGTCACAAAGTAGAGGAAGCTGGGAAAAGGGACCCTCAACCAAAGAATTTCCAAGATTATCAAGACCCAAGTTTGCTTTGCTCAGCAGGGGACCTTGCTTCGGTGACAGAGACTGGATGGTGACAGAGTAATGACTCTGGGACTTGTGTTTTCCTTCATAACAAGCTGTTTATTGAAAAATTCAGAAGGTTTTTATACATTACAAAGAACTGACAGTCACATGGGGTTTGGCAGTTCCATACAAAGATTTAGGGTACAATTAGACAGGAAAAGGACATAGAGGTTTTTAGTTGGTGCCAGCCAGGGGCTGTTTGTAAAGCAGGATGCTTAAACTTTTACTTAGGGTTACCAGTGCTTATCTGGTAATTTATTGGCGACAATGCTTTCTTTGTTAGGGCCAAAAGCATAGTAAACTTTTAGCTTTTAGCTCAGGAGTAAACCATTAACCTGGCCTATTCTTTTGATAGCTGAGTTATCTCTTCTGGACAAGGAGGTGGACTAAGGGCAGTTGACCAGGATGCTTTCCCTCAGAGCAAGGAGTCTGAACTTTGGACCTAGCTACTTTTCTCCTGCTAATCTTGCAGTGTTCTGCAAGACAGGGATATCAGAGCTGCTGTTTTCAGCACTCCTCTCATTAGCAGAGAACGTAGCCTGGACTTAAAAGTTTTAGATTCATCTTGCCCTAGGGCATGCCATCCTGGTTTCCTATACCAGATCAGATTGGCCTGTGGCCATGTCTGTGAAGTATTTTATTAACTGCTGTTGATGTGGGAGTAGGGCTCAGGCCACTGTGTCCTCTTATCATACTGACCATGTTTGAAATGTTCAGTTCCTGCATGTGGCTGTATGGTTTCCACTGAATTGAACAGTGCAGGAATATCACACACACACACACACAGAGAGAGAGAGAGAGAGAGAGAGAGAGAGAGAGAGAGAGAGAGAGACTCCGGTCATCCCTCCTCTACTCTATTTTCATGGCTTTATTTTCTATTTTATTTTGTTTTTATCTTGGATTTGAGACAGGGTCTCATATCGCCAAGACTGACCTCAAATTCTCTGTGTAGCCAAGGCTGATCTTCAACTCCTAAATGTTCCTTTCTGCCTGTAGTGGGTGCTGG